GGTGCGTGTTATGGTTAGTGTAAGGTTTCAGGTTAGAATTAGGGTTAGCGTTAGGGTACAGGTTAGGTTTAGAGTTAGGGTACAGGTTAGTTTTAGTGTTAGGATTCGGGCTAGGTTTAGAGTTAGGGTAAGCTTTAGGGATAGGGTTAGGGGTTAGTTTTAGGGTACGGGTTAGGTTTAGTGTTAGGATTAGGATATTTGTTAGGTTTAGAGTTTAGAGTAAGGGTTAGTGTCAGGGTCAGGGTCAGGTCACGGTTAGGGTCAGAGTCAGGGTCACGGTTAGGGTTTAGCGTTAGTGTCAGGGTCAGTGTCAGGGTCAGGTTTAGCGTTAGGGGTTAGAGTTAGGGTGCGTGTTATGGTTAGTGTAAGGTTTCAGGTTAGAATTAGGGTTAGCGTTAGGGTACAGGTAGGTTTAGAGTTAGGTACAGGTTAGTTTTAGTGTTAGGATTCGGGATAGGTTTAGAGTTAGGGTACGCTTTAGGGATAGGGTTAGGGGTTAGTTTTAGGGTACGGGTTAGGTTTAGTGTTAGGATTAGGATATTTGTTAGGTTTAGAGTTTAGAGTAAGGATTAGTGTCAGGGTCAGGGTCAGGTCACGGTTAGGGTCAGTGTCAGGGTCACGGTTAGGGTTTAGCGTTAGTGTCAGGGTCAGTGTCAGTGTCAGGTTTAGCGTTAGGGGTTAGAGTTAGGGTGCGTGTTATGGTTAGTGTAAGGTTTCAGGTTAGAATTAGGGTTAGCGTTAGGGTACAGGTTAGGTTTAGAGTTAGGGTACAGGTTAGTTTTAGTGTTAGGATTCGGGCTAGGTTTAGAGTTAGGGTAAGCTTTAGGGATAGGGTTAGGGTTAGTTTTAGGGTACGGGTTAGGTTTAGTGTTAGGATTAGGATATTTGTTAGGTTTAGAGTTTAGAGTAAGGGTTAGTGTCAGGTCAGGGTCAGGTCACGGTTAGGGTCAGAGTCAGGGTCACGGTTAGGGTTTAGCGTTAGTGTCAGGGTCAGTGTCAGGGTCAGGTTTAGCGTTAGGGGTTAGAGTTAGGGTACGTGTTATGGTTAGTGTAAGGTTTCAGGTTAGAATTAGGGTTAGCGTTAGGGTACAGGTTAGGTTTAGAGTTAGGGTACAGGTTAGTTTTAGTGTTAGGATTCGGGATAGGTTTAGAGTTAGGGTACGCTTTAGGGATAGGGTTAGGGGTTAGTTTTAGGGTACGGGTTAGGTTTAGTGTTAGGATTAGGATATTTGTTAGGTTTAGAGTTTAGAGTAAGGTTAGTGTCAGGTTCAGGGTCAGGTCACGGTTAGGGTCAGTGTCAGGGTCACGGTTAGGGTTTAGCGTTAGTGTCAGGGTCAGTGTCAGTGTCAGGTTTAGCGTTAGGGGTTAGAGTTAGGGTGCGTGTTATGGTTAGTGTAAGGTTTCAGGTTAGAATTAGGGTTAGCGTTAGGGTACAGGTTAGGTTTAGAGTTAGGGTACAGGTTAGTTTTAGTGTTAGGATTCGGGATAGGTTTAGAGTTAGGGTACGCTTTAGGGATAGGGTTAGGGGTTAGTTTTAGGGTACGGGTTAGGTTTAGTGTTAGGATTAGGATATTTGTTAGGTTTAGAGTTTAGAGTAAGGGTTAGTGTCAGGTTCAGGGTCAGGTCACGGTTAGGGTCAGAGTCAGGGTCACGGTTAGGGTTTAGCGTTAGTGTCAGGGTCAGTGTCAGGGTCAGGTTTAGCGTTAGGGGTTAGAGTTAGGGTGCGTGTTATGGTTAGTGTAAGGTTTCAGGTTAGAATTAGGGTTAGCGTTAGGGTACAGGTTAGGTTTAGAGTTAGGGTACAGGTTAGTTTTAGTGTTAGGATTCGGGCTAGGTTTAGAGTTAGGGTAAGCTTTAGGGATAGGGTTAGGGGTTAGTTTTAGGGTACGGGTTAGGTTTAGTGTTAGGATTAGGATATTTGTTAGGTTTAGAGTTTAGAGTAAGGGTTAGTGTCAGGTTCAGGGTCAGGTCACGGTTAGGGTCAGAGTCAGGGTCACGGTTAGGGTTTAGCGTTAGTGTCAGGGTCAGTGTCAGGGTCAGGTTTAGCGTTAGGGGTTAGAGTTAGGGTGCGTGTTATGGTTAGTGTAAGGTTTCAGGTTAGAATTAGGGTTAGCGTTAGGGTACAGGTTAGGTTTAGTTAGTTTAGTGTTAGGATTCGGGCTAGGTTTAGAGTTAGGGTACGCTTTAGGGATAGGGTTAGGGGTTAGTTTTAGGGTACGGGTTAGGTTTAGTGTTAGGATTAGGATATTTGTTAGGTTTAGAGTTTAGAGTAAGGGTTAGTGTCAGGTTCAGGGTCAGGTCACGGTTAGGGTCAGAGTCAGGGTCACGGTTAGGGTTTAGCGTTAGTGTCAGGGTCAGTGTCAGTGTCAGGTTTAGCGTTAGGGGTTAGAGTTAGGGTACGTGTTATGGTTAGTGTAAGGTTTCAGGTTAGAATTAGGGTTAGCGTTAGGGTACATGGTTTAGTTTTAGTGTTAGGATTCGGGATAGGTTTAGAGTTAGGGTACGCTTTAGGGATAGGGTTAGGGGTTAGTTTTAGGGTACGGGTTAGGTTTAGTGTTAGGATTAGGATATTTGTTAGGTTTAGAGTTTAGAGTAAGGATTAGTGTCAGGGTCAGGGTCAGGTCACGGTTAGGGTCAGTGTCAGGGTCACGTTTAGGGTTTAGCGTTAGTGTCAGGGTCAGTGTCAGGGTCAGGTTTAGCGTTAGGGGTTAGAGTTAGGGTGCGTGTTATGGTTAGTGTAAGGTTTCAGGTTAGAATTAGGGTTAGCGTTAGGGTACAGGTTAGGTTTAGAGTTAGGGTACAGGTTAGTTTTAGTGTTAGGATTCGGGCTAGGTTTAGAGTTAGGATAAGCTTTAGGGATAGGGTTAGGGGTTAGTTTTAGGGTACGGGTTAGGTTTAGTGTTAGGATTAGGATATTTGTTAGGTTTAGAGTTTAGAGTAAGGGTTAGTGTCAGGTTCAGGGTCAGGTCACGGTTAGGGTCAGAGTCAGGGTCACGGTTAGGGTTTAGCGTTAGTGTCAGGGTCAGTGTCAGGGTCAGGTTTAGCGTTAGGGGTAGGAGTTAGGGTACGTGTTATGGTTAGTGTAAGGTTTCAGGTTAGAATTAGGGTTAGCGTTAGGGTACAGGTTAGGTTTAGAGTTAGGGTACAGGTTAGTTTTAGTGTTAGGATTCGGGATAGGTTTAGAGTTAGGGTACGCTTTAGGGATAGGGTTAGGGGTTAGTTTTAGGGTACGGGTTAGGTTTAGTGTTAGGATTAGGATATTTGTTAGGTTTAGAGTTTAGAGTAAGGGTTAGTGTCAGGTTCAGGGTCAGGTCACGGTTAGGGTCAGAGTCAGGGTCACGGTTAGGGTTTAGCGTTAGTGTCAGGGTCAGTGTCAGTGTCAGGTTTAGCGTTAGGGGTTAGAGTTAGGGTGCGTGTTATGGTTAGTGTAAGGTTTCAGGTTAGAATTAGGGTTAGCGTTAGGATTCGGGCTAGGTTTAGAGTTAGGGTAAGCTTTAGGGATAGGTTTAGGGGTTAGTTTTAGGGTACGGGTTAGGTTTAGTGTTAGGATTAGGATATTTGTTAGGTTTAGAGTTTAGAGTAAGGGTTAGTGTCAGGTTCAGGGTCAGGTCACGGTTAGGGTCAGAGTCAGGGTCACGGTTAGGGTTTAGCGTTAGTGTCAGGGTCAGTGTCAGTGTCAGGTTTAGCGTTAGGGTTAGAGTTAGGGTGCGTGTTATGGTTAGTGTAAGGTTTCAGGTTAGAATTAGGGTTAGCGTTAGGGTACATGTTTAGTTTTAGTGTTAGGTTTCGGGATAGGTTTAGAGTTAGGGTACGCTTTAGGGATAGGGTTAGGGGTTAGTTTTAGGGTACGGGTTAGGTTTAGTGTTAGGATTAGGATATTTGTTAGGTTTAGAGTTTAGAGTAAGGATTAGTGTCAGGGTCAGGGTCAGGTCACGGTTAGGGTCAGTGTCAGGGTCACCGTTAGGGTTTAGCGTTAGTGTCAGGGTCAGTGTCAGTGTCAGGTTTAGCGTTAGGGGTTAGAGTTAGGGTGCGTGTTATGGTTAGTGTAAGGTTTCAGGTTAGAATTAGGGTTAGCGTTAGGGTACAGGTTAGGTTTAGAGTTAGGGTACAGGTTAGTTTTAGTGTTAGGATTCGGGCTAGGTTTAGAGTTAGGGTAAGCTTTAGGGATAGGGTTAGGGTTAGTTTTAGGGTACGGGTTAGGTTTAGTGTTAGGATTAGGATATTTGTTAGGTTTAGAGTTTAGAGTAAGGGTTAGTGTCAGGTTCAGGGTCAGGTCACGGTTAGGGTCAGAGTCAGGGTCACGGTTAGGGTTTAGCGTTAGTGTCAGGGTCAGTGTCAGTGTCAGGTTTAGCGTTAGGGTTAGAGTTAGGGTGCGTGTTATGGTTAGTGTAAGGTTTCAGGTTAGAATTAGGGTTAGCGTTAGGGTACAGGTTAGGTTTAGAGTTAGGGTACAGGTTAGTTTTAGTGTTAGGATTCGGGCTAGGTTTAGAGTTAGGGTAAGCTTTAGGGATAGGGTTAGGGGTTAGTTTTAGGGTACGGGTTAGGTTTAGTGTTAGGATATCTATGGCAAATTTTCCTGGTCAATTTCTTTTTCATCTTCCCAATGACAAACTCCTTCAGGGACTCTCCATCATTCCTACTATATTTGTCTCTCCAATTTCAAGTCAACTGATTAGAAACGCTCCCATCATATTTTCGGACGCCAGCAAAGATGGGCACATTGCCATTGTCTATCTGCATAAACAACATAAAAATGTCATTCAGTTGTCCTATAAGACAAAATCTGTCCAGAGGGCTGAACTTTATGCTGTCATAAAAACTCTTGAAATCTATCAAGAACCACTTAATCTCTATTCAGATAGTCAATATGTCGCCAGGATATTACCCATCCTTACTGATTCTTTCATAAACTCTAATGATGAGGAACTTTCATACCTTTTTCATAAAATACAGCAGCTACTCTTAAAAAGAGTTTCACCTATATTTGTTTCTCATATTAGAGCACATTCTGGTTTACCTGGGCCTTTATCCTCGGGAAATGACTTGGCTGACAGATATACTCATTTATATTCTGTCATTGCTAATAAGGATTCTGTCGGTATGGCAATGAAAAGTCACTCTCTTTTCCACCAAAACGCTCGATCCCTACGAAAGCAATTTCATATAACTAGAGAACAAGCTAGGCAAATTGTTAAAAATTGCTCCCTATGTCCCCAATATGTTAACACCCCTTCTTTTGCCATTAATCCGCGGGGCCTTTTGCCCAATGATCTCTGGCAAATGGATGTAACACATTATTCATCTTTTAATATATTACAATTTGTACATGTTTCTATTGATACCTATTCTGGCATGATCGTAGCTTCCGCTCATTCTGGTGAAAGTTTTACTGATGTTCAAAATCATGTTTTTCACGCTTTTGCTTACATGGGAATGCCTAAACGTTTAAAGACTGATAATGGGAGCGCTTATATATCCCAAGCTTTTAAAACCTTTTGTGAGACATTTCACATCCAGCATACCACAGGCATCCCTTACAACTCTACAGGTCAAGCTATTATTGAAAGAGCTCATCTTACACTTAAAAATACCTTACAAAAACTAAAAAAGGGGAGATTATGGCAGGAAAAATGAAATATTCCCCCCACATGCACCTAGACTTAGCAATATTCATTTTAAATTTTTTGATTGTGCATGATGATGGATATACACCATCAGAAAAACATTGGGGAAAAAACACTGATCCACCCCTTATGGCAAAGTGGAAGGATCCTATGACAGGACAGTGGAAAGGCCCTGACCCCTTGCTTAGACAGGGTCGAGGATATGCTTGTATCTTCCCACAGGATGAGGAAGCGCCACGCTGGGTTCCAGCCAAATTTGTTAGAGATATCAAAACTGAGAAGGAAGATGAGTCGGCTGAACTTATGCCCTCCTCGGAGGAAGAGGACTCCTAAAACAGACCTGCCATCATGGGGACAAATAAAGAAGTTAACCTCACAAGCCACAAGTTTGATAAGAAGATTGATTTCAACACAAAGTTATTCCTGGTGCAACAACCTCCATATTGGATGATCCCTGTTGATGTGAGAGGACCTTGGTAGGCGAACTTTGGTATGCAGTTAGCTCAAGAATTGGTGAAGAAAGCTAAGAAGAACTCGAAGATTTCTTGGACTTTTAATTGCAGGGATAGTGGCTACTATTGCTCTTATTGCCTCTGCTACTGTATCTGTTGTATCTTTGCATGAAAATGCTCAGACCGCTGAACATGTAAATGAACTTGCTAGAAATGTAACTATTGCTCTTGATGCTCAAAAGAGAATTGATGAAAAAATTGAAGCACAGATTGAAGCTTTAAAAGAAGCCATTTTATATCTTGGTGATCAATTTGTTGTATTAAAAACTATAACCCAATTGACTTGCCATGACGCTTATAAACATATTTGTGTTACCCCACTGCCTTTTAATGGATCATGGGAAAATGTACGTATGCATTTACAAGGGGTTTGGAATCATGCTAATATTAGTCTGGATCTCTTAAAATTACAACAAGAAATAGACGCCATTAGTCAAAGTATGTTGCATTATGAAGACCCCGGCGATTTAGCCAGTGAGATCTTAAATCAGTTAAATGGCTTTAATCCCTTCAATTCGCTGAAACATTCCTTTTGGATATTTTTGGCATTAATAATCGGATTAATTCTGATGTATGTAATGTTTGCCTGCTCTTGCAAAAAATTCAATAATCAATTAAACTCCTCTAAGGCACAACTTCACTTTTTGCATTTGAAAAATATAGGGGGAGATGTTGGGGCGGTCCCGCGGTGCGAGGCAGGGTTCCAAGTTGAGCCAAAGCTCCCTGTTGTCCCTGGCCAACCCGCAGTCCTGCGGTACGAGGTTCCGGGTTGAGCAAAGGCTCCTTGTCATACCTGGCCAACCCGCTGGGACTGCACCTAGCTCTTCCCCCTTATGGAAGTAAAAGTACATATTTGCTTCTCCTTTAAAATGTTATCGAGACAAGTTCCCATAAAGTAAGCAAGGAGGTGGCCTGACACATGACCGCCTTGGCAGACATTACTTAATAAACAAACCTCACTGTTTAGTCTAAATGTGGCATTCCTGCTCTATTGCTTAAACAAATAACAGGTGTTAGTTTTAAAAACAATGTATGTTTGTGCTGAGATGTACTTCTCCTTAAAGAAATAAGCCACCTGCTTACGGAGGCTATATAAACTCTACATGCAAAAATAAAGCTTGTCCATTGTAGCCATCAGCTGCATGGAACCTCCTATCCCATGAACTTTTAGTCTCTTGTTTCTTTCTCATCCCCTTGCCCTCGGTTCCTGAATCACATATTCAACTTGCAGAAATACAATCTGTACACTCTAGGAATTAAACTGTAATCACGAGATGAAGATATAAATATGAAAACTACAAATAGATGCTTGTTTTATTTTATTTTATTTTTTAGACGCTTGTTTTTAAAAATAGCATTCAAACAGTAAAACCCCTGACTATGTATATTTACTAAACTACGGTCTCAACCCTACCCATTAATATGTATTCTTGAATTTCCAGGACCTAAATTTCTCATATTCCTTGAACTTCATCAGTAACCTGGTTTAAGTAGAAAAAGTTCCTTAGTAGTCTCAGACGCTTTTCCCATTGTAGCACAAAATTTTGACGGTGAGGAAACCAAAACCTCAGATATAATATCTCCTCCATCTACTTTATAAACTATTGCTGAAAGTGTTAAACAAAATGAACACTATAGGTTATCAGATATTCAATTATGAATAACTGAAAATGTGAATCCTGTGAAAAAATGTGGAATCTTGACCGATGAGGTTAAATCTCTGATGTACAAACTCAAGAGGACAGTCTCAGTAAAGGATTACAGAGTATATTCAGATTACAAAGTACATACAAAATAGAGGACTTAGAAGACTTCCAGGGATATTTTAGATGGTAGGGAGATAGACAGCTTCATTTTTATACTTCACATACACGCAAAAAAAGCCACAGAATCACAATGATCTCACTGATAGTAAAAATCAGGCAGATTGAAGGTGAAATATTAATAGATATTCATCTCTTTCTCTAATACACAATCTTTTCTCAAGGTAGACAACAGCTGAAGAAGTTGCAGAAGATATTGGCTCTAAAAGGTGGAGAAAATAATTTACAAGTATCCTTAAAGTCTGTTCATAATTACGAAAAGTTGAATTCCAAACTTCTCTGAGTTTGGGAAATTTCTATTGAATTATGAAGTCTCCTGTGAGTTTACCTTCACTGCTTCTCAAAGAAAAGTACCAGATTTCCCATTTCAGAAGTCTGGCTTCCCCATGATGCATTTTGAATTGAACCATATAGTTGACAGTTTTATTACAAATACGTTGCCCTTGTAATTGTTACACCAAAGGAAGTGATTGAAAAAATTTGCAAAGTTATAGAATTGGACTTTAGTTCTGTGGAGAATGAAGAAATAAATGTTAGGTTTAAAAATAATATCCTCGGATATGTATATATCAAGACAAAAAGATTCAAATTTGATTTATTATTCACTTTGGGTATAGCACTTTCTGGTCTGGAAAAAAAAAAAGAAGACTGTCTGAAATAATTCCACTTTACGTAAGTGGTGACAAATCACTACTTATAGATTTCTTTCCAAAAGCCTCAGTGTCCATGGCATAAAAATTGTTTGAAAGGGTTCTGTGCATTGCTATGTTAACATCTCCTACCACTAGTTTCGTTTTTAACAAAAGCCATCCTGTTTCCTTTGCATAGCTTTTAGCTTTAATTCTTTTCCTTTCGCTTTTCACTAAGTAAACCCATACCTTGACACCTTTTCATACCTTTGGACCCTTAGACCCTGGAAGGGAGATGTTTTGTTTTAGGAACAGTACTCAGTTCCACCTAGAGAAATGGGACACTTGGTCCCATTCTTCATTAGAAATCCTCTTGTACAAAAGAGCAAAACTATAACATTTCTATGATGACACACTTGTAAGGTAGGAGGGATTTTATTTTATAGCATTAAAAATTATTTTGAAAAAATTAATCCATTAATAATAAAATTTTTGATATTATTTCCATTTTAAAAAGCCATAAAATGTATCATAGGTTTTAATGTATTCTTATAGAACTCACAAGTTAATTCATTTAAGAAAAGTGTGACAAATGTCTAGATCATCAGCTGAGCTAATTAATTACTATGTCTTTGAATTAAGAGAAAAGTTCCATGGAAATTCAGTTAGCAAAGAAACAGAATTCTCATGCAAGTATGCAACATTCTATTTTATCCTAGAAAGGTTTACTTTCAGGGATCCCTGGGTGGCTCAGCGGCTTAGAGCCTGCCTTTGGCCCAGGGCATGACCCTGGAGACCTGGGATGGAGTCCCACATGGGTTCCCTGCAGGGAGCCTGCTTCTCCCTCTGCCTGTGTCTCTGCCTCTCTCTGTGTGTCTTTTGTGAATAAATAAATAAAATCTTAAAAAAATATTTTTTTAAAAAAAGAAAGGTTTACTTTCAATACCTGAGTGATAGCTCACAGACTAAGTTAATCAATGTCCTAAATTACATCAAATAGGTATTAATATATTCTCACTCCTGACCTTCTCAATCTGGAGATTATTTCAAATTAGGTGGGTTTTTTTTTCCTATTAAGAAAACAAACTGAATTGTTATTATCTTGTACATTTTGAGTAAGAATTGGGAATGCCAACTAAATAATGATACCTTAATATCTCAAAATTCATTTCATCTGCAAAGATGCAGAGAAAACACATCATGTAAAAGATGATGATATTGCTAAAAACAAATATCTAGCAGTATTTATAAGTAGTATTAACATTACAGAAAAGTCAAAGGACCTTACCCAAGTTTTACTCCAAGGAAAATAGATGGCAAAATACTAAAATGTCAAGGTTTCAAAGACTTGTTACCACAAGTGAAATAAGAGCATCACTTAGGTTCACTAATTCCATCAGATAAGCTCTATGTCAAACTATGCATATGATTTATAGACAATCAGGAAATAAAATTGGATTGTTCCTGCCCAAAAGTACTAGAGGAGAGTCGCCTCGCTGTCTCCTTCCCCACCACACACACACACACACACACACATGCGCGCATTCTGGCCTCACCACTGTCCCTCATGCTGGAGAATTCTTAAAGCATTTTTGAAGCATTCCAGGAACAAATTCTTGAGAACTATAAAGTCATTCATCTCTGCTACTGGGCAAAGTTGAAGAATCAACATGGATTCTGAGTTGCTTTTTACATATTAGTCTATGTCAACACAGGACTGTTGTAGACTAAACATGCTCACATGTAGGTATGGCCTTCCATCCTTCAGTTTGTGCAGAAGGCTCTGCTAACCTGCCTCAAGTGTGAGTTGTGATAACCCGGACACGTTGCCATCTCACATGCTACCATCACTGTATGCTTATTATCAATATATAATGTTCTTCAAAATGCACATTTCTAATTAGGGGTCTGTTTTACCCTCCACTGCTGAGTACCAGGATTCCATCTGAGTTTCTGTGGCACCCATCCTTCCTGCAGGTGTAGTCATATACCTGGCAGTCATATAGTGACTCTTTCCAACCCTCAGCTCCCCACCTCTGGCTGTCTGTGATCAAGCTTCAAATCATGTTGCTATTCTTATGGGTTTGCCACACTTGCAGCAGTTTCATTAAGAGTTCATGAACTTAGGTGTTCAGATGTTAATGTTAAAGGTAGCAGATACCCCTATGCCAAGTATATGCCATACCGACATACTCTACATACATACATACATACATACATACATACATACAGAAAGAAAGAAGACAAGAGTGAGGGAAAGAAATAAGGAGGAAGAAAAAAGGAAGGAAGGAAGGAAGGAGAGGGAAGGAGGGAGGGAAGGGAAAGTTTTGTCTTTAATTAGCTGGTTGATTATGGTGAAAAAAACTTAA